AGAACAGCCTCTATTTTTAGCATCTGCACAGCCTGGCAAAGGAGAGGATGAAAAAGTCAGATTAAAGTCATAGATGGCCTGTTTGATGTTGTTGTGGATTTTTAAGTTTTGATATAAATAAATGATATAGCAACCTTTAAACTGCCCTTTAGACCAGTCTATAGATGACATGGAAGGGCAGATTTCAGTCAAACAGCATTTTGCAAAATGAATCTGTTCAGAATTTTTTGTAGCAGTATGCGAATTACAGGGGGGGTTGAGGGGGATTTACCCACCTTATTAACGGTTGATCCCCCCTGAAGGACATCAAAACAAGATGTAAGGGTGGTCAGCCCTTTAATAGCAAGAAATAGCTTTCTGTGATCTGTCAAATAGGAATAGTTAAAAATGTATTATATAAATAAACATTTGACCCACTCTCTAATGATTTATACCATTGTGAATGCAAAATAACGATTTAAATAACGTTTTTTAATAATGTTTAGAAAAATATCACTCAACAGTCTGAAACAACAGGTATTCACAAAACACGTTTCTTGTAAAATACTTGTTTATATCTGCATGTAGCCTAAAAAAAAAGTTAGACACATAAATTGTATAGTTTGACCTACAATAACCTCTAGACTAGTTACTAAATATCCCTCAAAACACTAATAATGTATACATTTTATTAATAATTTTATTGAATTAGTTTTATTAAAGACACATCTCTTTGCATTAGCATACACATAAAACACAAATGCTGTTAAAATCCTAATCCTCTAAAAGGATTGTTAGTCTGCATTGTTCAGAGCCAGTAACACTTCCCAAAAGACATTATAATTTAAATGGCATCTGCGCTTTTGTAAGTCTGTTTTTATAATTCAGGAGGTTTCCATAATCCTGGACCAGGCCGTATCCTGAGGAGCTGCTGTGGTGGTCATGGAGGAGTTGAAAGCATGAGACTGATTCCTGTAGGACCCCAGTGATAGACGAGTCTTCGCATTGATACTGAAGGGCCAACCAGTACACCAGCCAGTGACCTCTCCCACCTGCAGCTTCTCCAACATGGGTGTCCAGGGTTCTCCAGCCTCCGGCGCGTAGACTGCAGCTCTGCACAAGAAGTTTGGCCAGAGGAGAAATTGTCATGGCCAACTGAGCCTGGTTTTTTTTTTCTTCACTTTCGTTAATTGGTGAAGTTTGTTCCTTGCCTTATGTATATATTATTTGCACTGAACAGAAGCAGTTTATTATTATAATAATCAAAATAATTCATATGAACATGTGGTATAGCAAAAAAAAAAAAAAAACTTTTACATTTACTAAAGACATCAAATAATTTTTCCATTGTTCAGGGTTTTTTTTTCACTTAGTGTTTAGTATTTTTCATCATGTTATTTTCTGTAAAAAATGTTTTGTCCTACCCTCTTTCATGAAGTCGCCTCTCACAATTCCTCACTATTTTCTCATGCTCAATTGGCTCAAAACTAGGGAATTTCTTTTCCTGTTGAACATAAAACAAGATATTTTAAAGAATGTTAATAACAATTAATATTAATGACAAAAACTACTATGCAGTCAATAGCTGTTTTATCACATTCTAGTTTATCTTCCTTTGTGTTCAACAAAAGAAAAAAAAATGTGGAGGATGAATAAATGATTCAATTCAATTCGTCTTTATTTCTATAGCGCTTTTACAATGTAGATTGTGTTAAAGCAGCTTAAAATTGAAGTTTTAGTAAGTTGAAACTGTGTCAGTCCAGTTTTCAGAATTGAAGTTCAGTTTAGTGTCTTTTAAATTTCACTGCTGAAAGTCCAAACACTGAAGAGCAAATCCATTGATGTGCAGCTCCACAAATCCCAAATCATGCAAGCCAATGACGTCAGTGGTGAGGAACAAACTTCGCCAATTGACGAAGGTGAAAGAAAAAACCTTGAGAGAAACCAGCCTCAGTTAGGCACGACCATTTCTCCTTTGGCCAAACTTCTTGTGCAGAGCAGCAGTCTAGGCGCCGAAGGCTTGAGAACGGACATCCATTGTGGAGAAGATGCAGGTGTGAGTAGGTCACTGGCAGGTGCTCAGTCTGTCCCACGGGATCAATGCAGAGACTCGTCTATCACTATGGTATTTCAGGAATCAGTCTCATGCACTCCACTGCTCCATGAGGCCCCAGCATCTGCTCAGCATACGGGCTGGTCCAGGATTATGGATACCTCTAGAAGTCCTGTATGGTTGCCAACATCTCTTCACAGGACACAATCTCTAAATGAAGACAGGATTTATATTTTTGGTAAACTATGCCTTTTAAAATGCAAGCAAAAACCAGAGGTAATTTTTTTTGTTGCCTTCAGTGAAAAGATCTTCAAAGAACCATCTCATGGTGTGAGGAGCATTTTCATAATCTAAAGATCATTTTACATTGAAAAGAACTTTAAAAGGAATTAAAAAGTTTCAAGGATGCTAAAGGATCTTCAGGGAATCATCAATGTCAAAAATAACTTTTATTTTTACGTGTTTGAAGCCTGTCGAAGGGGTTAGCACTGATGCCTCATGGCAAGAAGATCACTGTCCCAGCTGGGCCAGTTGGCATTTCTGTGTGGAGTTTTCTTGTTCTCCCCATGTCCAAAGACATGCGCTATAGGGTAAATTGAATAAGCTAAATTGTCCATAGGGTATGTGTGTGAATGAGTGTGGGATGTTTCCCAGTACTGGGTTGCAGCTGGATGGGCATTCGCTGTGTAAAACATATGCTGGATAAGTTGCCGGTTCATGGGATTAATGGGATTATTTCCTATTTGGCCAAAAAAACACTCTTGAAAACATTTGTCTAAATATGTTAGGATCATCTTCATGCAAAAATGAAACTTTCTAATGGGTCTAAAATAGGGGCCATAGTTCTGAAATGTGTGACAGGTTAGATTGTGTTTATCAGTAAGCTTATATATCTTTATAACCACACAGGTTAAAGTCTCAACAGCATGATGAAATGAGAGGTCATATTGAGAGGTCTTTTAAACTGAACTCATATATGTAGAATGTGTACTATGCATTTTTCTCAAAAGCAGAAGCATTTTTTAGAGAATAAACAATGTAGTTATGAATTGTAGTTCAGCTCACTAAATAATGACTTGTCAATTCAGTTTAGTGTGTCTAAAAAATAAAGCACCACTCATGTTAAGCAAATTCTCAAAAGAAGGATTCATTTTAGAGAATCATAAGCATCCGGCAACACTGATGTAGTCTGAGTTTTGCAAGAGTGACTGTAATTAGTTGGTTAATTTTAGCGAACAACAAAAATCCAGCAGCAACACTCTCAGAAATAAGAAATGACCCTTTGCAACTCAATAACTGGGTTTGTCCATATTTGATACAACGTTGGGTTATAGGACAACCCAGCATTTTGCAGAGGGTGTAATGAAAATTTGTCAAAACAGGTCTACAAAAAAAAAAAAAAAAAAACAGCATGAAACAACTTCAGTTCTTTTTCATTTCAGAGAATGCTGGATTTGTTAATTAGTTAGCTTATGATTTGGATGAGTTCAAATAGCATTGTAAGGAAGCGCTACCGGCCTTTTGGTAAAAAAAATACATAAAAAACATTTATAAAATAGCATACATGCATATAAAATTACAGCAAAATATTTGGAGATGTTATTCCATGCAGGGGCATAAATATACACTCACCGGCCACTTTATTAGGTACATCTGTCCAATTGTTTGTTAACACAAATTTTTAATCAGCCAATCACATGGCAGCAACTCAATGCATTTAGGGATGTAGACATGGTCAAGACGATCTGCTGCAGTTCAAATCGAGCATCAGAATAAGGAAGAAAGGTGATTTAGGTGACTTGAACATGGCATGGTTGTTGGTGCCAGACGCGCTGATCTGCGTATTTCAGAAACTGCTGATCTACTGGGATTTTCATGCACAACCATCTCTAGGGTTTACAGAGAATGGTACGAAAAAGAAAATATCAGAGGTTAGAAGAGAATGGCCAGATTGGTTCAAGCGGATAGAAAGGCAACAGTAACTCAAAAATAACCACTCGTTACAAGGTATGCAGAAGAGCATCTCTGACAGCACAACTTGTATAACCTTGAAGTGGATGGGCTACAGCAGCAGAAGACCACACCAGGTCCCTCTCCTGTTAGCTAAGAACAGGAAACTAAGGCTATGATTCACACAGGCTCACCCAAATTGGACAACAGAAGACTGGAAAAACGTTGCCTGGTCTGATGAATCTCAATTTCTCCTGTGACATTCAGATGGTAGGGTCAGAATTTGGCATCAACAACATGAAAACATGGACCCATGCCTTGTATCAACAGTTTAGGCTGCTGGTGGTGGTGTAATAGTGAGGGGGGTATTTTCTTGGCACACTTTGGGCCCATTAGTACCAATTTTGCATCGTGTCAACACCACAGCCTACCTGAGTATTGTGGCTGACCATGTCCATCCCTTTATGACCACAGTGTACCCATCTTCTGATGGCAACTTCCAGCAGCACTTAACACACCATATCATAAAGTGTTAATTATCTCAGACTGTTTTTTTTTAAACTTGACAATAAGTTTACTGTACTCAAATGGCCTCCACAGTCACCAGATCTAAATCCAATACAGCACCTTTGAGATGTGGTGGAACAGGAGATGGCATCATGGATGTGTAGCCGACAATTCTGCAGCAACTGTATGTACGTATGTAAAATACCAAAAACAAACCGGTATGTCATTTATGTGATTTGCATATATTATCATATGTCAGATTTCTAAACAGTGACGGATGTGCTCTATCTTACACTCTGAAATCATTATGAAGACCTAAAATAGAACAATAACATAGTACTTCTTTGTTTTCAACCTCTGCCTCAGATTGCGATCATCATTCAGTCAGGAGGAGGATGTAGTCATCAGATGTTGTCTCTCTTTCCTCTCTAGATGTTACCTGGTGGGCGAGAGCTGCTTCTGCAGCTGACGTCACGTCCCCGTTACGCGCGCGCTCGATGTCCTGCGCGCCGCATTCGGAGCAGCTCGAGCATTAAAACGCATCTGACCCGCATCCAGAGCCCACATCAGCACCCTCGGGTCTAGTAGCCGAGCTCAAGATGCTTCAGTCCCTCGCCGGTAATTCGTGCGTGCGCCTGATACAGAGCAACAAATCGGCGTGGTATTTTCTTTTCCTGGTGCTCGGCTACGTGCTGTATCTGATCTTCGGTGCGGTGGTGTTTTCCTCGGTGGAGCTGCCGTATGAAGACGACCTTCGCCAGCAGCTCAGAGAGATAAAGAGACTTTTCCTCCAGGAGCACCAGTGTCTGTCCGAGGAGCGGCTCGAGAGGTTTCTGTCCAAAGCCCTGGAGGCCAGCAATTATGGGGTGTCTATTCTCAACAACGCCTCGGCTAGCTGGAACTGGGACTTCACCTCGTCTTTGTTTTTTGCGAGCACCGTCTTATCGACCACAGGTGAGTGAGTGAGCTAGCTTTACGGATGTGTCGTAAACTTATATGGCAGCAGCAGGACATTAAACATCTAACGTGGCATCCTGACACTCTTGAGAGCCAATATGATCTGATTTTTAATGTTTTAGTTCTGATCGTTCTGCAGTGACACACATTTAAAGGGGTAGTTCACACAACAATAAAAATTATGTAATTTGCTCAACAGTCACCTGTTGTCACAGAAAGAGTACTGAAAAATCATACTTGAGTAAAAGTACCATTACTTGCCTAAAAATGTAGTGCAAGTAGAGTAAAAGTATCTGTTGCAAATATTACTCAAAGTATGAGTAAAAAGAAGCCCTTTCAAATGTACTCGAGAGTAGTATTACGCTGTAAAATGCTGATGCATTTACTCGTAATTTGTGGATGTGTGTAAACGTAACATTCTGTAGTGCATTTGGTGATTGCCCAGCTGGCACACAACATCATAAGATGTTAATATTAGCTTAGATTTAGGTTGTGATGTCAGGTGACCAAAATTCAATGTCTATCCAGCGTCTAAGGACAACGTTATTTTTATGTCCAATAAAGACATCAAATGACGTTGATATTTGGTTGATTTTAGGTTGTGTTGGAAAGTGATCAAAATCCAACATCGAGCCAACATCCTTACCAACACCATATTGTCGTTAAAAACTGACATTTATTCCCCAGGTATGGCAACCGAAATCCAACATCTGATAGATGCCATAGTGGCAACGTCCACACAACGTCAAGCTGTAACATCATTAGACGTTGATATTTGGTTAAATTTAGGTTGGACGCTGTACATTGACATATCTCTGATGCTGGGTTTTGACATCAACCCGATTTTCCTTTGCTAACTAAATGCAACGTCCCCATGAGGTTAGGGTAGAACGCCAATCCTGTGTGATGTTGACATCTTGTGCCTGCTGGGTGTTTAAGGCCATTTTGGTCATCATACAGTAAACGTCCGTCATCTTCTCATCAGCGACATGCATCTATACAGTCTCTAGGTCAATGCGTGTAGATTTTAGACATCTTTTACACTTTTAATGCTTCCGAACAGTTTGCTGCAATTATTAATGTCTTGACATGTCTTGAGGTAGTTCATTATGATGCAGCGTACCTTCTATGTGCAGTTTGATTGGACAGGTATCACAGGACTGATTTTTCTAATCCTCATAGACAGGGAATATACGGAGACCCAGAAGGGACGTGATAGTGGGGAAAAAAAATTGATGGAAGAAAAAAAAAACTGGGTGGGAGAAAAAAAACCCAAAGTGATAGGAAACCTTATTTTAAAGTTTTTTTTGCATTCCCTCGCAAAGATGTTTTGCATTATCTTTCAAAACTGTTTCTCCACAAATACTTGCTGTTCACTTTATTCATGTAAACCCTCCCGTTTTTGCTGAAATTCTCCTGTATTTTACCATTCTATCCCACTATCATCCTAGTATTTTCCCATGTTTCTGATATATTTTTAATCTTGAAAGCACGCTAAAATTAATATTAAAATGTCTGCATTCACTTTCTTTACATTAAACCTGTGTGTCGATCATCACACGCCTCTTTACATGGCGTGTACAGGATAATTTCGGCTAAAACGGGAGGGTTTACATGAATGAAGTGAACAGAAGGTGTTTGTGGAGAAACGTCTTTGCGAGGGAACGCAAAAAAAAAAAAAAAACGTAAAAATATGTTTTATTACCACTCATTTTTTTTTCCCACTAAGTTTTTTTTTCCCCACCATCACGTCCCTTACAGGTCTCCATAGAATAATAAAGTAGTGACTGCAGGTTGAAGGAAAGTAGTGGAGTCAAAGTACACTGCACTAAAATGTGCTCAAGTGAAAGTAAAAATCCACATTTTTAAACTACTTAGTAAATTGCAACTCCTGAGAAAAACCACTCAATCACTGTAGTTTGAGTATTTGTAATTTGTTACTTTACACCACTGGTCACATTCGTGTTGATTCTCTTTTTTTTCTGTTAAAGACAAAAGACTTTATTCTGTAAAATGTTAAAAACCAGTAACTGTTGACTTCTATTGTATTTGTTTTTCCTGCTATGGAAGTCAGTGGTTACAGAAATAACGTAAATATCTATACATATATATACATTTTAAATCTTAGATTTCTTTGCCTCAAGTTAATGCAGAGAAGCTTTTTTTTCAACAAATTTCTAAACATAATAGTTTAAACTCATTTGTAATAACTGATTTCTTTTATCTCTGCCGGGATGACAGAACATAATATTTTACTAGTTATTTTTCATAACACTAGTATTTAGCTTAAAGTACAATTTAATGGCTTTACTAGGTTAATTAGGCAAGTTAGGGTAATAAGCAAAGCGAGAAAAATTATTGCTTAAGGGGCTAATAATATTGACCTTACAATGATTGAGAAAAAAAACTGCTTTTATTCTAGCTTAAATCAAATAAGACTTTCTCCAGAAGAAACATATTATAGGAAATACAGTGGAAAAAGTCCTTGCTCATTTAAACATCATTTGTGAAATTAAAAAAAAAAGAAAACCAAATTCAAAGGAGGGCTATAATATTGACTTAACCCGTACATGTGTGTGTTTATCTTGGGTCTCTTATATAAAGCTGTCTCACCTGTCATTTAACACCTGCCTTAACACAGTAATGTTACATTGAGACAGGTATCCAATTTCCAAATGGGCATAAAACAGACTTAATTGAAGAATGCTACAATTTGATGTGCTGTTCAGGTTGTGAACAAATACCTGTCTGCATGATCAGAAGGAAGTTCTTAGTTCCTACTTTCATTATCACTTCTGCTAAACTGTACCCCTATTATTTCTCCAACAAAAGAAAACATTTAATGAAACTAAACCACCCCAGTTTCTTGAAAAAAGAAACTTCCTTCATGACAAGCTCCAGCATGTGCCAGCACATTACTCCCAATAGACAATGTCCATTAACCCTGTATAGTCTAAAAAATAATCTTCAGAAAATCACATTTTTGAAATAAAACAATTTATTGAACTTTTTGGTGGTAAAAATATGTTTAATTCTTTCGTCGTATTTACAACAGGCTTTTATGCTCCAAATAGTATACTATATTAAAATACATTATTGAATAGGGTTATTTTAGTCAAAGAATAAAAGTATAATTCAGAAGCCAAACCTAGCAAAAAAGTGCAAGTTGGTGTTATGTAAATGTTATTTAAAGGTAGGGTTAGTGATTTCAAAGTGAATAGCAAGAGCCAAAGATTGAGATGTAAAGAAACTTTCGACCAGCAAAACAAATGGTGTTTTTGAACCAAATCATCAACCCTGCTTATAAATTGCCAAAGAGGAATTTTTATAGAATTTCATTAATTTGGCTTATTATGATAGCTGATTAATGCAGCTCAACGATTATTTAAAAATGTACAAATAAACATCCCTCAAAAGCCTAAAATCAAATTTGATACTTACATTTCAACATTTTTCAGACGAAAGTGCAGTATTTTGAAACTGTACTTATAATATAAAAGTTAGGTTTATTTGATAAAAAGCATTAACATTTTCACTAAACAATTACGTCATGCATTTTAATTTTTACAGGATGAAAGGCAAAACATCTCATTTTTTATACATAGAAAGCATATACATTTTTGTAAAAGTGCTTTAATGTTTAATAAATTAATAATATTTTACTTGATATTTTTCAAGACACTTCTATGCAGCTTAAAGTGACATTTAAAGGCTTAACTAGGTTAATTAGGTTAACTAGGCAGGTTAGGGTAATTAGGCAAGTTATTGTATAATGGTGGTTTGTTCTGTAGAATATCGAAAAAGTATTGCTTAAATGGGCTAATAATATTGACCTTAAAATGGTGTTTAAAAATTAAGAACTTTTATTCTTGCTGAAATAAAACAAATAAGATTTTCTCCAGAAGAAAAAAATATTATCAGACATTCTGTGAAAATGTCCTTGCTCTGTTAAACATCATTTGGGAAATATTTAAAAAATAAAAGAAAATTAAAGGGGGGCTAATAATTCTGACTTCGACTGTATATGCAGTATGTATGTATGTATGTATGTATGTATGTATGTATGTATGTATGTATGTATGTATGTATGTATGTATTTATGTAAAACTAAAACAACATTCTTGTTTTGACCTACTTATAAAAAATATATAAAAAAAGATAAAAATATAAAAATGACAAATAATAGGTGTTAAATACTTTTAGGCTGCACACTCACAGAAATAAAGATGCAGAGGCTGTTTATGATAACTAAAACATGGACTTTTGTAATATAACAGTACCAATAAACCATTCAGAAACAAACATTTTGCTATGTAGAAAGGTACTTTTCTAAACATGCTGAAATAAGATTTCTTTGTATACTTTACACTAGGGCTGCAGGATACTGGGAAAATATGCAGTATTGTTGTTAAGTGCTGCAGAACACATTATTTTATGATTTAAATAACAAAATTCAAAAACATAATCTTATCAGCAATAATAAAAAAAGATTATTTATGTAAAGATCATACTAAAATAGTCAGGTAATACATATTTTTGTCTGACTTAATTAAATAAAAAAGATTATTTAAAATGATGATTACAAAGCATCAGGAATGACTGAATACCTACAGAAATTCTGATTCTTTTTGGATGTTGTCATTTTCCTCTCTTGTTTGCCAGCATTAGTATTTATTTTCAGCTCTAGGTTCACCAAACAAAAGATAGTAAAGCCCCCATCTGATTAGTCAGATTTGGATAAACATCCTATGCATGCAGCATTTCATTTATGGCAGTTCACTGACATATTTTATATACTATTATCATGATGATGATAATTTTTCAATATATTGGGAGCCGATAACGATTACTATTTTTTGTATATATTGTGCAGCTGATAACAATAATTTTTTGATATATTGTGCAGCCATAATGAATATTTTTTATTTATTGTGCAGCCGCTAACAATAATCTTTTGATATATTGTGCAGCCCTAACCAATAATTGTTTGATATATTGAACAGCCCCACTTTACGCTGATGGACAAGTGTTTTATAAAAGTTTGATCAATATTTTCTGCTTAAAATTAAGCAGTTAATTTTATATGTTTTTTTTTTTTTTTACAGTTGGTTTACACTCTGATCTAGAAAACACAACCACGATAACACATCGTTCCATCAAAGCTCAATTACCACTGGATTTGTTGGAGATGTGTGAACTGGCCAGTGCAAGTAAAATTGCTGTCGAAATTTACCAAGGCAGACAGATTTGTAACTTTTATATAAATAACACTGACATGTAATACCTTGCAAGTTGCTTCTTTCTTTTTATCTACAAAAGGAACTTTGAACAAGGCAAGTTGATAGAGAGTGGATAAAGACCTTAGCAGTGACCACAGATCTTTTATTTTTTTTTTTTTACCTGAAATGGCAAAGGTATTCTTTTCTGTTTTCATGTTCAGTTTTGATTGTTTATTGTTTATAGATTGTTTTAACCTATTATTACTGTTAACAGTGCACAAACTACAGAAAAATGTGCTACCACAATCCGCATATTTGGTGTGTTTTTGAATGGTTGTTAATGATTTGAAAAATATGACCAAATTTTAGTCTAGATTCTGCTGAAGAAATTGAGCTACACCCCTTTTTCAGTATAGATCTGGAAGATTATTTTCCACCCTTTTGAAGTCTTATTGTTCATAAATGTTTCAAAAAGCAGAATGATTTGACATCATTGATGTCCACACAAACATGAAATGTGAATTATTTTTATATACACAACCATTTGAATGTTTTGGATTGGTAAATGGAAAGATGTTTCTTATGCTCCCCAAAGCTGCATTTATTTGACGGATAACACAGTAAATACTGCTATATTATGAAATATTATTACAATTCAATATGCTGTATCAATATACAATTCAATTGTAATATGCTCATTTGGTTTTAATAACAATTTTATGTTCTTCTTGGATTATTTAAGTGAAACAGAATAATGTTTATTTGAAATTCATCATAAAAAAATATTTTTTTTGATCGGTTAAATATATCTTTGGTGAAAAATAATTTAAACATTTTTCACTTTTTTGAATGTTATCACCTTACATTAAAAGTCATTTCATCATTAAAAACAAGCAAAAGCAATTTAGCATCAAATTAAAGGGTTCGTTTACCTAAATGTGATAATTCTGTCTTCATTTAAGCATCCTCCACTTGTTCAGCTATAACTGATTATTTCATATTTTAATTTTAATTATAAAAAATAACGATTCCTTTAAAAATCTTGTGTTTAATGAAAAAATAACCACAGGTTTTGAAAAAAACTTTGTGAATAACTTTCATTTTTGGGTGAAGTTGCCATGAAGCTTAGATGTAGAAACCGTTTCTAATTTTATTTACATGTATGTCCTCACTTCCTTTTTACTTTCTCCATAATGCAAATCTGTCTCCAGCTAATTTGTGTCAGGAGCCCGAGGCATTTAGTAAGAGCCTATGAACTAACCTGATTGTATATGTCCATAATGTGAGATGCCCATTACTTGTGAGCTCTAGGGAAGCATTAAACTGCTGAGAGCAGAAATGAGAGCAATATAATGTGTTTATTTCAGGGATACACAAAGCGAAATTAAATTACATTGCTGGACTAAATGATTAATTCATCGATAATCCAGGATGGGGGCTTACTGAGTGTTATTCCGTGTCTGGGAATGGCTGTAAAACAGGATGGTTTTGTTTTCAGTGAAGAGAAAACAATGTGTTGATGCATGTTAAGCTAGACTCATGAAGGAAATGGCTATGTAAAAGGCAATGCTTAAAATACAAATGAAACTAACCAAATGATTTTGTTAACTCACATTGGTAGTTTTGTGGTGAACAATTCATCTGTGCATGTCATTACGGAAAAAAATATGTTTGCACTTGTGTTCTAAAATTAAAATCATAAAATGCACTTCCTGTTTGTTTCTTTTCAGTTAAATTGTCTTATTACTTATGTTTTAGGTATCAGTCTGTTTTGACAGCAAACAGAAATGGTGAGGAGGAAGAGTCTGTTTAATAACTCTCCTAATCTGATCTTTTCCTGAAATGCCTACTTTACTACTTCCAATCAGCTAGCAGTCAAAAAACAAGCCACGCCCACTATTTTCTTATTTAATATTCTGTTTCTCTAGGAACTCCATCACAATATGAAAAAAGCAGCTCGTGGTCATGTGGATTTTAAAGCGGATCTATTAAGCAGAATAAACTTTTGTGGTGTTTGAACATTCATGTGTGGAGTGCACTGCACACAGTGTGTGCAAAGAACCAGCATATAACGTTTAGAAATCCACCCACTCATAAATCAGTAGCCCCACCACCATGACAATCCGTCCTATCAGAATAGCTCAGTAACAATCACTGCATTAAAGCAATGTCCTCTTTAAGAGAAGTGAGTGTTTTTCTTGTGTTTAGTTTAGTTAATATTAGCAGCACAGCAGTAGCTACTTTATTTTATACTGCTGTACTTTTAATAAATATTAAAAATATATCATTCCCCACTGTTTATGTGCAATAAGAATTTAAACGCAACTTTTGTTGAAAGGTGCAGTATGTAAGTTTCACACCCAGTGGTTGAACTAGGTATTGCATTCCTGGATCAAAACAAACGCAAGCGCAGGTTGCCAGATTGATGGCCAACAGAAGCGAGTTAGACCATCGAGCCTAAAGGCTGATTTAAATCATGTTGTAAATAAAAGCAACGGCACCCAATAGAAGGAATATTTTCCATATTAAAATGAGTTTTTGTGCTAACCAACACCTCGAATTGGTATATTAGAAGCGCCTTCTATGTCTTGCAGCTGAACAACAGAAAACTGACATTGACACCTCAGGTACACCTCATGTGCTTTTTTCAATGTTAAATACTAAAAATGTGAGTTTGAATGCCATTATACATGACATTTATTGCCATACTTTGAAAGCAGCAGCAGATAATTTACTTCAGATCTTAAAAATAAAATGTTTGAAATTGAACTTTAGAATTGTGACTCAAAACTAACACATGATTCAGCATGTGCATGTAATAATGTTAAAGAGGTTTAATATGCAATAATTAGATTATAAACCTACCATTTCGTTGGAGTGTAAGTGCACTATTCTGTGCTTTTGAATGGCTGTATTTAATTTTCTCTCATGTTTCGTCTGGTGCAAACAGCCAAATTGCTTATCACTGCAAATTTGATAATGTAGCGTGTTGTTAGGACGTTAGGACACGTAATGTTTACGTTCACAATATTTATATTATTTGCTAATTAATTTAATAATTAAATTATTTAAAAAATAATTTCGGAGTCTGCCACTGTCCACCGGAGGTCACGTTTTGGTCATGTGCGCATCCTTTCAGAGCCTTTCTGACTGAATGAATGAAATACACGGTTTGTCATCAAAGCAATCCGTGGTGCTGAAATATAATTGGCTAAACTAGCAGTTTAACACCTATTTTCAAAGCAGAATATCTGACTTCAGCATTGTTTTTCAGATGAACAAGAATGTTCACTTGGCATGTTTCTTAAATATCTGCAAATATATTATGGTGTTTTTATGTTTTAGAAGAGTTAAAAACTTACATACAACACTTTTAAAACTAGCATGACATGAGGCACTTTCTGTGTATGCAGTCAGAAAATAAATATGTGGAGTGTAAACTTGCACCGCTTTAAAAGACATTCAGAAGAAAGTCACATGAGCGTGACAGACATGATGAAAACCAAGCAGAGTATCTGAGACAGTATGGAAAGGCCTCTCCTACTTCAGGAAAAGAGGGAGGGATGCAGCAGCTCATTTGCATTTAAAGACAAAAGTAGCACTTTATTCATAAGTCACTATTTATGCAATTAAAAAAAAACATTAAGTCTATTGGCTCAATAAACTACTAATTTGCTGCTTATTAATAGTATGACCATAAAAACTCACACAGGTGAGTGGGCTTGACAAACCACCTGTAGAAACACTCTTCTCTCTGTTAAAAAAAATAAAAAAAAAATAAAAAAATTCCCCCTCCTAAATCTAGCACTAAATTCTCAGAGCACTAACAGTTCATTTGTATGATTAGCGCTTCTTGTGTGTACTGCCCATTCTTCTTGTATCTCTCAATGCCTCCTCAATTCTAAATCACAAGTGTCTGCTAAATGTAAATGAAGTGAATTAGTACTTGGGTTTAGGTTTTGGGTTGGATTAGGAATGTAGAATATATAATCATACTTGTTAGCTACTAATAAACAAGTATTGTCTTAATAATAGGCAGAGAATATGCCAGTAGATACTGTATTGATTAATGGTTAATAGTGTGTGGATTAAATAATGAGTGGATTATTTTGAGGCACATTCTGCAAGTAAGACTTACTGTAAATGACATCTTGTAAAAAGGACCACAATGAGTCTTATTTCATAATTAAATTGCAGTGCTTTTCTTAACATTTTACAGGATATGGTCACACTGCCCCTCTCTCTGATGGCGGAAAGGCATTCTGCATCATTTATTCAGTGATTGGCATCCCCTTCACCCTCCTCTTCCTCACGGCTGTGGTGCAAAGGATCATGGTGTATAGCACGTGGAGGCCCATCATGTATGTTCACACACGCTGGGGTCTGTCTAAACCCCTGGTGGCCCTCGTTCACGCGACTCTGCTGGCTGTCGTGGCTGTGTCCTGCTTCTTCCTCATCCCTGCCGCCATCTTCTCTGCCCTAGAAGAGAACTGGAACTTTCTGGAGTCCTTCTACTTCTGCTTTATCTCCCTTTCCACCATCGGCCTTGGTGACTATGTGCCCGGAGAGGCCTTTAACCAGAGGTTTCGTGAGCTCTACAAACTGGGCATCACTGGTGAGTGTACTTTCTATTTTAATTATAATAATGCATATAAATGAACGAAACAGAACATTGAAACCAAGCAACAAACAAACTACAGTAAAACATGAACACACCTTAAATAAAAATAAGTAAATAAAGTTATAATATATAATTAAAAGAGAGGAGATGCAATATAAACCAATAGGGAAAAGCTATTTCGCCAAATCAAATCATGTCGTACTGTTTTTTTATATCATTCAAAAATCTTTAAAAAATAATTCACCCCTTCCTCTCAAAGAATATGTGATATTCTCCAATGGTATACAGTTATGTGAGGGTAGTTTATGCTTTGCTTTCTTTTGTTGTGCACTGAATGCATATTAGATAGCACTACAGCTCCAATAGTACAGCACTAATGGAGTGTTACAGTATGGTACAGTATTTGTCGGTATGAGTCACCTTTATCAGGCTTGTGTTTCCACTGCCAAAAGGGACCAATGGCGTGGTGTACGACAGAAAGTTTCAGACGATGTAATTTTTACTTAAGGAAAGGCACAGTAAAGCCGTACGGGTTGTTCACAAATCATATGTCAAGCGCTTCTCACAAAACAGAGGCTTTACACATATAAATACTTGTGTATAAATGTTCATTACTAACCTTTCTATGAACAGGATTTGATTATAACTGCAGATCAATGATACAACATATGCAACAAATATGAACATAATTATTATTTTTTAAAGCATTGTGCAATTTCATTTCACATTACCTTAAATTCAGAAAAAAATGATCAATTTATTTTAAAGAATTGTCCAATTGTATTTAATTTTACCATTTAAACTTAAATGTTGAATTAAAATTAGTTTAAATATTTTTATTATTAGCAATTTTTGCAGACATCCACTTGTAAATACACTTTAAAAAAATATAAACATAAAACTTACATTTTAATAATTAGACATTTGAAAATAAAAATAAATATTTAAAAAATTATAAAAATAAAAAAACAGACTTGAAATAAACAAAAGAATAAACATGCATTACTCCAACCAACCACCCAATGCTATCCAATGGTAAAAGTACTAAAGGCTTAATAATCACAAGTTTGTAGAAAGGAAGTAAAAGGGGACCAAAGTTTTTCAAATAACAAAACCTTGTCTAATAGGGTATACCCAGGGGTGAATTTAGGGATCTTGGGCCCTAAGCAATTCCAGCCATAGGGCCCAAGTCCTGAAATGCACCCTTTCAACTTTTATGTAATATTTATGTATACTGCTGTTTTTTTTTTTATATTACTTAATCTTATTTTCGACCTTTTAAATGAAATAAATTTTAACATTAATTTCTTTAATTCTTAAAATCTTTAATTTTGAATAAATGATTAGTTTAAAAAAAAGAATTTACTAACTACACTAAAAACAATAAACATACTTTTTTTTTATATATATAAATTTGACTGCTGGACTGCTCCATGACTGATATTTTATTTTGTGATGTTATTATAATTACATAACTTTACATTATTATAATATTGTATTTGGTTGTATAACAAATAATGAATTTAATTACATTAAAATTGTAGTTGTTTAACTGTCACAATACAAAATATGGTAGAAAACAATGTTATAGATGGTTTATAGTTATGATTTATACTTCTAGATATTTATTGGGGACCCCCAGATTTCCTCCCCCAGATAAGCGGCCGCTTATCTCACTGATTGGTTAAATCCGTCCCTGGGTATAAATAATTTTTCCCAGATGTAATGTACCTGTTAACTCTGTCAATCATAATTTAAGAGTTAGAACTTCTTTTTTATTCCAAAACAAAAAGATTATTTATGAAACAAACTGTTGTTGTACCTGTGTAAGTCTCAAAAATTCTTTGAAAACTTCAAATATTATTAATATTGGATCCTTTGCAATCGGAATGTCTAATGTATCTGAAAAAACTTTTGATATTTAAAATATTTCTGATAATTTGGGACACAGAACATAAGAATGAAGTTGGAATCTAAATGCAAATTAAAATTAAAAGCTAAAATGTTGTGCCCCAGTTTTCTGTTCCTTACATTTACACAGCTAAGCATGATTGATTGAGCAAACACACCTGTGGATTCACTTTCTCATAGTGTGAAAACTAGAAGTGAAACACTGAATAGTATTAAATTAAACAGAAAAAAATCCCTGTTGACTTTCTTTCATGTGATTAATCATCATCTTGTAAGTCTGGCCTGCTGTCATAGAAGCAGATGATAAACTGAAGGTAAAAGGGAAATGCATGTTATTCAAGGTACAAGCTGTTCCTTCCCCGCTGCTCGGCTGCTCCATCTAGTGTATTATTTATGAAGCAGAGCTGCTCTCGTTTTTCAGAAAGTTGCATGAAACGCCACATGGCTGCCTGCTGGTGTACTCGTGTGGGTTTAGTTGATGCAGATGGTCCCGTCTCTTCATGCGGAGGACGGTGAGAAAGAGCCACATTTGCTGTCGTAGTGTAATTGTGGAGGAAGCGCCATTTGTGAATAATGCCCACACATGCTGACTAGTGGAATTCAATTTCTTTTTCTCTGAATCTCTCTGTTGGATGTATTCCATGAAAAAACACAGGGTAGAACTAAACTTTAAGCACTGGAATATAACTAGTTTATTGCTCTTTTTAAAGTCGTATTTTAAAATATAAATTTTTAATGTTTGGTTTAAAGTATGACAAGTGTCTAACTGACAAGTATGTTTTTGCCAACTAAATGAAATATATATTCATATAGTTGAAGTCAGAATTATTAGCCCCCCTTTGATTTTTTTTTTCTTTTTAAAATATTTTGTAAATGATGTTTAACAGAGCAAGGAAATTTCCACAGTATGTCTACTAATATTTTTCTTCTCTAGAAAGTCTTATTTGTTTTATTTCAGCTAGAATAAAAGCAGTTTAAACTTTTTTTTAAACATTTTAGGGACAAAATTATTAGCCCCTTTAAGCAATTTTTTTATAGTCTATAGAACGAACCATCATTATACAATAACTTGCCTAATTACCCTAACCTGCCCAGTGAACCTAATTAACCTAGTTAAGCCTTTAAATGTCACTTTAAGCTGTATAGAAGTGTCTTAAAAAAGATATAGTAAAACATTGTTTATTGTCATCATGGCAAAGAGAAAATAAATCAGTTATTAGAAATGACTTGTTAAAACTATTATGTTCAGAAATGTGTTAAGGAAATCATCTCTCCATCACACAGAAATTGGGGAAAAAATTAAACAGGGGGGCGAATAATTCAGGGGGGCTAATAATTTTGACCTCAACTGTATATTGGATCTATACGTTTGTATATGTGTATATATACACAAAATTGAAGACAAAATTACCAGATCAGTTTTAAAAAAAATTCCCAAGACATGTTTATAAGAGCAAGACTGCTGATGAGAATATTATTAGGCTGCGGTCACATTAGAGTTTGAGGATGCGATATTCTGTCATGCAGCGCTTCGAAAAGGGGCGGTATTAAACAAGTTTATATAGACATTTATAGACAGCGAGCAATTGCTCCATGTTTTAAATTTCTGTCCAGAGAGGTCATGTTTTGATCCTCGATTGGTCTCACGCAGTCAAGTGATGCGATTTCGCTGCTCAGAGTTCACCAAGCTTGAACTTTGCACCGTAGCAACCTGCGAAACTTGACGCATGCATATGAATGGAAGTCTATGGGAGGAAAACCCCAATTCAACTCTACAGTTCAGCAAAGTGACTTTTAGTTATATTTTAGTAGTTTGAAACAATGACACCTGACCTGCGGTTTTACTTTTTCACTTCAAATATCACAGATCGCCTCTCGTGTCATTCAAATCACTTGTATAAAAGCATTTAGGCTTTCCTGTAAAATATAATGATGTTGGAAGAAGTTGTGGTAGGTTATTCGGGATGTGGTGGGTTTCTTAGGTGTTTTCTGTCACTACTTGCTTAGCCTGCGTTAATGCATTTAGTGTAAGCTGCACGGTTAATAATTTAAAGATCGGGATCTTAACACCCACACAACATAAATTATAAATGATGGTGCTTTGCATATGTTTATTAATCCTAAGAGATTGAGTCTTTTGAGTTGGTTATGAATTCAAATAACACAGAAGTACTGGGAACAGTTTATGGTTTAAATATAACCTCTGAGGTTTATGATAAAGATTAAAATCACTGTCATGTGCATTTACCAGTGCTCAAAAATGATAGTTGTAGGCAGCAACTACTTTATTTAACCTGTAGATGGCAACAACCAGCCATCAAAAACATGCCACTGAATAGTTCTTCTAAAAATGACATGTCTAGCAATAGAACATCAAGTTTTATGAGTGAATAACTGAATCATTTGTTGACAATGAGACTAAATATACATTTAAATAGACATTTTGTACTAAATATACACTTTATACATTTAGCATTATCAACAACAAGTGTTAATAGTGAATTTTTGACAGCACTAAATATTTTACAGTTTATTTTTATTGCCGATTATTCCTTCATTTTATATTTAATAAAATTACAGGTTCTGAGTCCTGTCTGTTAAAGCCAAAAGTGTCTTGCAGTACTGTTTTTGTAATAAATAAAAGCAAATTACATTTGTCGCCTCCTCTTTTGGCTGATAATGCACACCACCAACTCAGACATCACTTTAAAGTATTAAAAATGGTTACAAAAGTGTCTTTTTCAAACGTTTCAAGGTTAAAAGTGGTTGGATAAAAAGATCAAATTCCTGTAACAATTCAGAACCAAAAAAACAAACTGTGAAAACTCAAAACATGAATCATAAAATATGCAAAACTGCCCCTTTACAGTGAAGTTAAGCCTTTAAATTACAAATGTGACGATAGAGAAGTCTGCATTTTCATTTAGATTTAAAAAAACCTTCTTTTGGATAAAACACACTGAAGCAAGACAAACACAGACCATCAGAACAAACAGAGAAATATTTGATGTAAAGCACACAGTAAACCTCGAAAGCTAGTATAAACACAGAGCGAGAGTGTTTACATTCCTTGGTTTGTCGTCCTGCAGTGTATCTCCTGCTGGGCCTGATCGCCATGCTGGTGGTGCTGGAGACCTTCTGTGAGCTCCAACAGCTCAAGCAGCTCCGCAAGATGTTTTACCTGAAGAAGGAGAAACCGCAGGACCGTCTGGCCATCATGGAGCACGACCACCTGGCCTTCTCCTCCATGCCGGACGCCACCATCCACTCGCCCCACGAGGACAAAACCGAGCCCTTTGTGGACTTCCCTGTGTTGACCTCTCCAGGAGGAGACGACCCCATGATCAAATAGAGCTTCATCCACATTAACCTTCTTCAGTGGAGGGGGACGACTTTAGCCGAGGGTCTTGAAGGTGACTGGGAGGCCACGGATATGTGCAAATTACTTGAAAAGGTCATCTGAGAATCTGCGTATTTAACAGCCCTTCAAAAACAATGCCCATCATGGCTTCCAGTTTCTTGAAGTGATGAAGTTATTCAGCTTTTACGTGCTGAATATCTGCATATGATCAGCATAAGCACACTTACTGTAGGCCTGTCCGATAAAATCGACAAAAACACGCATATATTATTGCACACTAAATCTAGTATGCACTTGCCGATTGAGATGATAGACATTAGCTTGGCAGCATTTGTGGCTTAATGTTGATTACTAAAAAAAAATTCTATATTTTTCTATCTCCAAAGAATATGAGTTTGATTGAGATAAACACTCCCTATTTTAATAGAATAGGGTATATGCAGAGCTAGTGTTTCGTCCCATACTGATTTCATCCCATACTTCCGGTGAACGGTTAATGTGACTTTTTTTTTCCATTTGATATGGTTTCTTTTACAGCATCGATGTTGTAATGTCATTAAAATATAATCAGTTAAACAGACTTTGGCATTCGTTTAGTTGCCCGAGTGTAAAACGAGATGAAAAGCTGTTTACATGCACGCGCCCGTCAGGATTAGCAGGCTAGTGCAGAAGCTTCATTGAATATATTGGGGTAAATTAAATGTTCATATTTTAAAGACATGGCAGGGAAAATATAATTTAATGCAGTGCTTCTTGTTGAATCTGAGACTCGCTTTATAACGAATATGACTCAGCCAATGGAGATTTTTAAAGAAACAGCCCGCCCCGCTAATCTTCAATTGCTATAGGCTGACAATACTCCGGGGAGGGGCTCGGACCAGACTGTGTATCTGTGGAGCACAAAATATTTTATCACAAAGATTTTTTACAGATTGTTTAAAGATTGTGAAATGGTTATTCTTCAGGAGATCTTTTTGTGCTTCAGCAGAAGGCATTTATCAAGGTCTAAAGAAACTCTTTTTTTTTTTTTACAAAAAGTCCTAAGTTTTAAAGGTGCTGTACTCTGTTTTTGACTCTTCTAAAGCATAAAAAAATACCATAATATGTTTGCAGATATTTAAGAAACATGCCAAGTGAACAGTCTTGTTTATCTTAAAAACAATGCTGAGGTCTGAAGATATTCTGCTTTGATAAAGGGTATTACGTGGCGGAACATCTGTCTTGTTTTTTTTTTTTAAACCTGCCCAATGCCACCTTACCCAATTATATTTCAGCACGCCGGGTTGCCTTGTTGAAAAACCACATATTTCATTAATTCAGTCAGGAAGACTCTCAAAGCATACGATCGTGACCGAAATGCAACCTCAAGTGGACAGTAGCAGCCTCCAAAATGAGACGCAGATTCAGAGTTGCACATGAGGTTATTAATAAGCAAATAATATAAATCTTACGAGTGTAAGCATTAGGTGAGCAGGATACATTGTAACCCGATGTCCTGACAACAAGCTACATGGTGAGATTTGTACAGATAAGCAATTTGACTTTGCACCAGACGAAAAACAACAAATTTAAATACAGCCATTTAGAAGCGAAATGGTAAGGTTTAAAACATAATTAATACATATTAAACCTCTTTAGCATTATTAAATGTACATGCTGAATCACTGATATGTTGGATTGCATACATTTCAGTGTCACATTTCAATTTTGAAGATCTGAGGTGAACCATCTGCTGCTGCTTTCAGTATATGGCAATAAATGTCATGTAAAATGGCATTCAAACTCACAATATTAGCATTTAACACTGAATAAAGCACATAGGGTGTACCTGAGGTGATCAGTTTATTTTTTTGTTCAGCTGTGAGAAATAGAAGCTGTTTCTAATATATCAAGTCGAGGTGTTGGTTAGAACAAAAACTCCTTTTAATATGGAGAATATTCCTTCTATCGCGTATCGTTGCTTTATTTAGAACACGATTTAAATCAGCCTTTAGGCTTGATAGTCTCGCTGTTTGTCGTCAATCTGGCAACCTGTGCTTGCGTTTGTTTTGGTTCAGGAGTGCAATACCTAGTTCAACCACTGGGTGTCACACTTACATACTACACCTTTAATTCCTTATAAACTGTGTCCCTTTTATTGTAATTGTAAAAACCTTACTGTTACTGTTTTATTCACTATTATTATTTTATTTCGGTGGGATTAGATTTTTTGTGGTAATCAACTTTAGTCACAATTGCTGCAACTTAAAAACTAAACCCAAAATGTTCTTTTAAAGTCTGTTTTCACAGACTCTAAATGGAGAAGCGCTCCCGATGTAAACTCAACAGAAACACACTCTTCTCAGATCTTCGTGAATGTGTAGTGAGAGCTCACTTGCGTATAGTGTGGGGAAAACTGTCAATGAGCGTAGCAGTTGCACATCATTTTTTTAAAGTTTCAGTTCTGGCTTATAAGGTCTACCATGCAAACAGCTTAGAGAAAGATTTACAGGATATCCACTAGCAGTAGCTGATAAACTCATGTAAGCTGCAGAGCTCAGTGCATTAACATGTTCAAACTATGTAGCATAAGTCCGTGTAGAAGCACAATGCCTGCTCAAAAGGGAGATATTACACCTTTTTGACAATTCATACAGTACAGCATTCATCTATAAAGAATACTTTAAATGTTTTATAGGGAAAACATGCTAGAATTGATCATTTTCTTCTTTAAGAAATTAATATTTTACATTAGTGTAGGGGAATAGATCACCCAAAAATGAATATTAATTCCACTTGTTCCTATCCTGAGTTTGTTTCTACTTCTGAACACAGAACGAGTGATTTAGAAACATTTTGGAAACTATGAGATGCAAAACGTCTTTTGGATGAGACTTTAAACCAAGGTCCTGACTCTCTGTGGTCATTAAAAATCCCATGGCATTTTTCATAAAGAGTAAGGGTGTAACCCCGGTGTCCTGGCTAAATTCCCTCTATTGGCCCTTACCCATCATGGCCACCCAATCATCCCTTACCATGAATTCCATCACTGTCTCTACACTCAACCAATAGCTAGCATGTGGTGAGCACTGGCGCCATTGTCCTGTGGCTGCCGTCGAATCATCCAAGTATATGCTGCACACTGGTGGTGATGTGAAGATGAACAAAGACGTTTAATGATAGAAAGACTCTCAGAGGACCCTGAAATTGTTTAATGTAAAGGTTTTACATTTCAGTAACAAAATGCTTAGTTTTGTTTATCCATTTTGTTTAGGCTAACTCATTAGCAGCTAGTGCAGTGTTGGTTGCTTGGTAAAATACCCGAGCACGGATGGTCGAATTTGATGACAATTTAATGTTGCGTCCCACCTCTTTAGATCTGTTAGACATTAACAAATGGTTAAGAGAATGGAATCTACATATAAATATCAAACTCAATGAAATTAGCATAAATGTTGGAAAAATAAACTTGGGATCAAAGTGTTTTTACCAAGTGTGCCGCAAGCCTGCGTTTGAGTGAAGGTCTTGGTCGTTAGATCGCCCCCTGGGGGCTGGCTGCAGTACAAGTCATAAAGCCCGCCTCCTCCGTGTTAATGAAGGAGACTTGAGCCCAAATAAAAAAAATTATTACACTTGCAATAAAATGTCCCGAAAGATGGTTCTGGTCGATTAAGGCACTGGTTATTGTGCTGAAATAGGTGCAGATCTTCATTTTTGTAAACAGTTTGTTTTTAGCAGTAATTTAATGCTGGGCGTGTCATCGTGATTGACAGCGGTGATTGACAGTTTCTCAAAGCAGCGCGTCTGTGCTTCAGCAGAAGACTGAAGTGTTATTATTTGATTTCTGTGTCATTTTACCATGACAAAATGAGTTCAGCAGTAAACTATAGTTTCTGACATACATGATCCTGGTGGAACACTGTTTATTCGCTAAGTTCAGGGCTTTTTGGGCTTTATTAGTTTGCTGATACACGCCTAGCCACCCAGATAGCAAAACACAGTTCGGGCTAGATTCTCGCCTGCCGGAGACTTATCCCTTAGAGCTCAGACTGACTAACGTTACCTCTGCTGGACCTACTCCGGATGCCTGGACTCACTACCCGATTCCAGCCCGAGTCAATCGAGCCAGATGCGGCGGCCGAGCGAGCCGGCGCTGCCGCATGCGAGCCGCAATCAGCCCGCGACGCCGCGAGTAGGTTATGCGCTGCGGTCCGGAGCTGGCGCGATTGAATATATAAAACCCTCATATTTGTTAACGTTATTACATCCATTTGTATTGATATGACAGCAAACGCATGCTGAGAAGTTCGGGGGGCGTAGTTGATTTTACATAAAGCGTTTGATTGGAAGCTCGACTCTGCTCATTTTTGCGGCTCCTCCTCTGGCTCCATCAGAAAATCCTTCTGCGCATGTCAAGGCTCCAATTTCAGCAGTCTTTTGCGACAGTTTGTGCCCGTCAAGCAGGCGTTTTGCCCTCAAGGCGTTCAATGGGAAAAAGGGCTGTCGCGTCGTCCATATTTTTTACAGTCATTGGTTTTTACCCATTGTAGAATTGGTCACTCCGGGATGTCCCACAAGTTTTCAATTCTTGAAGATCCTCCCACATCCTCTATTTGTAAAAGCACTTTGACTATGAAACAAGTTTTATTAGCTTCTAATTTTATTTTATTCACTGGATTCTTTCGAAGAGATTAACAGTGTTAATCTAACTACATTTTAAAAGTGTAAAACCTTAATATAATCCATGTTTCTAGTTTACATTTTCTTGCCATAAAAATGACCATAGAAACTGGCATGGCATAAAACTCAAATAATCACACTAAAATTTGCATCCTAAATGACATTTATACACTCCGCACTTTTACACTCAACCATGTAGTGTTTAAGTTGAGTGTCGTCCCGAATCTAACACTAATTTTTTAGGAATTTCAAACTTTTTCCCAGTCAACGTTTATCAGCTGCCAGATTTGTTAAATAAGTTACCAAACTACCAAGTAGTTCCTGCCATTAGTACAAGTACATTCAAAATCAGGAGGATGCATACATTGGAGAATGGACTATATGCACAGCTAGTTTTTTTTTAGCTAATGATGAACTTCTAGTGAAAGCTTTGTGACGATTTTTAATTTCATACGGTTTTCCTTTTACAACATCGATGTTG